AGCCTTTCCTTCGGGAAACAATCAGGGCTGTCCGACCGGAAAACAGTGGGAGCCGACGCAATCCCAACCGAACTCCATAAGCATGACGACCTTTGGATGATAGAATATTCACAGCGCTGTTACAGGAGGTGCGGCGGCAACGATACACGATGATCGTCAATCTCTACAAACGGAAGAGGAATGGCCAACTCGGCGACGGCCACTGAGGTATTTCCACTCTCGACACTGTCGGACAATTATTTGTTCACAACCTCATTAGCCGTCTCAGCAGCCTCAGCAGCCTCTTGGGACACGCTGTAGCTTCCAATGACACTGCGAAACCACTAGCGTGGTCTCCGTGCACGCCAATTACAGGAGGAAAGGCATGAAATGCTCATCAACCTCCATACTACCTCCGCGGACTTGTTGAAAGTCTTCGACACGGTGAATGGCGATAAACCCCGGAAGAGAATACAGAAATTCGGTTAGTATGGACGATTTATGGACATTGCGCGCCAGCTCCATGAAGGATTAATGGCGCACGACACTAACAAACGGAGCCTCAAAAGCATTCGCCATGATTAATTAAGTGAAATGGGACTGTGTACTCTCTCCGGGCCTCTGTGTCATACTGGTGGACGCCTACTGAGATTAGTGCCTTGGGATCAATGTTGTTTACAGGGCCGACCAGTGCGTCAATATCCAACGCAGGCGGGCCCCAGCACGTCTCTGCACGACTACTGTTCACGATCTGCTCTTCGCGGACGACGGCGACCTTAACACCGCGACAGAACCGGGTATCCAAGGGAGCATGAATAGCTTCGTCGCCGGCTGTGCACACTTCGGGAGGACCATCAACATGGATAAAACGATGATCATGCACCAGCCATCACCAAACAGTGAATACAACACCTCTAACATCTCTGTTGATAGAATTCAACTCAAAACAGTTGACAAACTAGCTTATTTGGACAGTTAACTTTCATGGAGCACCGAAGTCGACGATGAAGTTGCGCGCTGGATCTCCAAAGTCCACCAAGCTTTCGGGCGGCGGCAGGCCTCTATATCAACACAGAACTCAAGATGAGCACAGCTGTCATTTTGAAAACGCTGCTGTATGGAACGGATATTTGGATATCCCATGCGTAACAAACAGGAAAACTCAATCACTTCCATTGCAGCTGTCTCCGGGAAATACTGCGGAGACAACTGTAATCGCGCTGAGGTGGCCGGCTGGCGAGGATGGATGGCGGGTACCTAACCAGACGACTCTTTTACAGCGACGTCGTTATGAGTACTTGACAAGGAGGACAAAAACGACGCTGTGAAGAAATCCTGAAAACTCCCTCGAGCAACTGCTAATTAATTCGGAGATCTGGGAAGACCTCGCCTAGGATTGAAATGCCTGAAGAAGAGCAATGAAGACTGGCGCAGCAAAATACCACGCCAACCGAGACGCCACTGTTAAAATCAAACGAGTGTCTCGCACGTCTGACGCGCCTCCGACTCAGAAAACCCCCTCCAAAATGTCAACGCTGCCGACAAGCACTCTGCACACCGATCGGCCTCGCCGGGCCTAATGCAACAACACTACCAGTGGTGATTACATTCCACTCATCACCATCACTGCCACAATCTCGCGACAATGACTACAGCCCCTCCTAATTCTACTCCCGGTGAGAACACTTCCAACGCCCCACCAACTACCACCAGCGCCAATAACACCAGCAATAGGGGACTCGATTTCCGCCTGACCTTATTGCAGCGGCAAATTTATATAATGAATCGACCTGATAGGTCACTTGCGAATCTATAGCATTGAGACTAGTTAATCAGTGTCTGAAGTCCCGACATACACCCATCGCACCCTCCCCAATTGTTCTCACTATCCAGTCATTATATGAGCCTACTCGGTCACATGCGTATCCATGTAAATCTGCAGTAAAACATCGCAAACTAAATCTGCCTAACCGACAGTTCGAGCGTCGTATCCGACGGGGTCTACCGTATGCTCCATAGTTTGGTAGCGCAGGGACGTTGATTTGTGCGTGAATTTGTTTTAGATAATAGTAGACTTGGGCTGCATCCACAAAACTCTCCCCTCACCCACCTGTGCTTCGTGTCAAGACGGAGTCAAGAAGTCCGGAGGCTGGATCAGAGGCAGGTGGCTGGTGTGGCGTGGGCCTGCACCTGTGCGGCACGCACAAACGAGTTTTTTTATACCTCCATCAGCCACGTGCGCCCAATCGTCACACCAGATGGATGAACGGCTTGGACAGTGAACAGATGTCTGGGAGAGGGAAGCGAAGGTGCGGTAGCCTTAACAGACTCCATCCCACTACGGCACTCGGCAAATATCTCTCTCACCATAAAAAATCTGACACGTTTTAAACTATCAGGGTGCGCTAAAAGCCACGGCTTGGAAGGCTGCCAAGAGACGGGAAAACTTAGTCCCCTCGAGACGGAAAGTCAGGCTGCAATGATTCCTCCTCCTGAATGTGACGTCTATGACACATTTATTTGGATGAGATCCGAACCACCCCTTGTTTCTGTGAAAATTATGGCATGTGCCGAGAGGTCGTTTGGCTGGTATCAGTAGCTACGCCCTTTCCCGCCTTCAATTTTCTTGACTCTGTCCTGGCACAAGGCTCGGTGGGTAATGGAAGAGGGTTCACTAGACGATGTACAAACTCATTATCACTATAGACTACTTCACGCAATAATTTAATTCTTACCAAGAAGAAAAAATATAGCAGTAAATAATATATGCATCGAAAAAATAAAGCTTGACGTACTACGCGTCTTGGGGGAGATCTTTCTGGTTTTTGTCTTATAGATGGAGCGATTGGATTTATCCTTGGAGACAGAGGATGACGAGGAGGCCCTGGAAGGCTTTCCTGGGGTACTGGAGAGGACTGAAGCTGCCAGTGGGTTCATTTTAGGGGGCGGAGAGTTAGTGAACCAGTACTCTCTCGAGGCGTCCAAATACATGATAAAGAGACAGAGATGGCGCAACACAATTGCACGTCTGCACTTCGTTAGGGCCATTTGGTTTATTAGCGTGGGTAGACGAACTGGAGAAAAAAAGGCAGGTGAAAAATCAACAAAAAGAACGCCGGTATCAAGTCCTCGACACTGCATCAGGATAACAAGAAGTGACATAGTCAACTAACAGTGTGATAAGAGATGGATCACGCACGGTCAAGAGGCAACGCATACCAAAAGAAAGGCAAAAATATTGTCTACGTAATCAAAAGGGTAAATCGTTTCTGGATATAACAAGCGACGTTACCGTCTTTACTTACATGGCCAAGCAACGTAAAACATTATTTCTTAGGCAATAAATGCTCGACGATGCACGTATCCAGGTAAAGGCAAAAAGTGTACCGTGTCGGACGATCGCAAAATTCACTAGCATTTTTGATCAACCGCACAAACGTCCACCGTCATCCGATGTGCACTGCATGGCTTGTCCTTCAAGTTACTTACGAATAGAGTTGACGGGAAATAAATTCATGATATACGCCCAAACAGTCCTGGTGAAGCTGCTCAGTTAGGCTCGGTGCAAGCCTAATGCATTGTTTGAGCTAGACACCACTCTATTTTCAGACTATCAGCCCGCCGTTTCCACGTGTAGACACTTGACAGTCGCCTAGACGACGGTTGTGAATAAAGCTCTCTACCGGTGATAGCAAATGATGACACGACAGATACAGGTAGCAAAAAAAACAGAAACAGTCGACTTCAGCGGTCAGTTGTAATGCTACTAGGGGCGTTCCGTAAAACACACACACACACGCACACATCTGTGTCTGAGTCATCGTCGCATAGTCTTTTGGGAAACCAGACGGGGGTAGACGACCAGACTTATTGTAAAAAAGCCAGGTGGGAGGGTACAACAAGGCGAACAGTACAAACGCGGAACCAGAGTATTCCTATGTACGCTATCAAGATACTTCGTCTGCTTTTATGCAACGAAGCAGACTGGTATTGAGAGTGCAGGACTAAAAAATAACAAGGCCGAGAAAGGCAGTCCAGTTCTCAGAAGCGGGAACGGCAATTTGTAGATTTGAACGCCCGTGGTAGCGCGGGGGGGCAATGGAGAAAATAAAAGAACCGAAGAAAGTAGCAAGACAGGCTTGTAAGCTGTTCTAACACAAAAATGCGTCTGGTAGTGCCCCTAACGCCAAAAGCACTGAACTCCAAGTCCTCCCCGTAATAATTTGTGAAACGTTTCGCTTCACGAATCAGAAAACAGAGAGGACGCTGGGTGACCCACTGATGGGTCGAAATCCCAGCAGCTGCCTCATACGGCAGAAGAAATACCGGTGAGACACGCACCTGTGTTGGAAGCATGATGAAACCATTGTGACTATATAAATATCTATATAACTTCCTTCCCGCAACAAATAATATTTCAGATCGCAAACGACTGGACAATGGGACTTAGACCCAAGGATATACCGATGGCAACAATGCTCAAAGGTCCCGAGCTCTAATCCCATGCGCTTTCGACATGGAGACGGATGTGGTTGGCTGGTGGCCACTAATAAGCCAGAAATGGCTATTCCAGTCTCCGTTGTCCCTGTCAATAGTCCCTCTTTCTACATACATACATATTTGGAGAACTACCTATAAATGCCAGCGTCTTGGTAGGTTGTGCTGTAATTGTCTTAGAAAACAGAAAAAAGTGTTTTGCCGAAAAGACAACTCACTTAAAAGTCGGAGAAGGTAGACGGCCTCGTAGGTAAGACAGGGAAGTGATGGGGAACGCTCAATTTCCTCTGGAGGCAAAAGGATTGTGGAAGCCCAGCTGGGAGATGTGCTGCCTTTGGGGGTTTCGTTGACGGCGCGTGCAAGAGGCCTTGAAGGAAAAAAACAAGTCTACGATTAAGTGTAAGAGGAAACTACTCTTTAAGTGTGTATACTATTCGAAAATCTCGAGCGCAAAGTTATCAAAATAGTCTGGCATAGTTAGTATATTAAACACTTTGTGCCAATAAGGCGTGCTACTTGAAAGCTGACATCCACAGAAAAACGAGACTGAGCTCCTGATCACTGCCCATTTCGTCGCCTGAAGTTACCTGTCAGTTCGCTGCCGAACGAGTTGGGGTCCCTCAGTAGAAAGCTGGCTCTAGATTAGGACTCAATTGTGCCCAAAGAAACCTCTTTGTATAGAGTTGCCGGGACTGGAAGTACGGTTGATGCCAGCCTTGTTCCCTAGTTGACATTTCGTGATTAAATCGCGCACAATTTTTTGAAATCTATATTGGTCGACTTTTCCAACCAGATTATAATCACTGAGAAACCCTTCTAATTGCACAAAGGCAGCGGATCCGCACGGGGCACTGTAGGCTACTTCACCAAAAGGTGCGAGTCCATATCCATCAGCAAACGTGAAAGCATCGCCTGTCAACAAGTCTTACCGAAACCTAAATGATTTGCTATGGGGTACTGCTAAATAATCTACATCTAAAATGGTTCTTCTTTGTTGAGTCATCCATTTCTGCCTTACCGACATTCTGAAAAAAAAGGCAAAGTGCTAAAAAACAAGACAAAATAGAATAGTGTTTGCAACACGAAAGAAGGCCTGTTTTGAAAATAACAATGCTTCAGGGAAGGGGGCATTTGCGAAATGCGACTTTTTACTCTGCTTGAATTTTCTCTTGATATTAATTTTTTTGGAAACTGAAACCATAATAAAAGTTAACAAATTTGGAGTTTACGACCCAGCGGCCTAACCAAGAACGAAAATTACGATGGCACTAACGATCGCGCCTTAAAATGATGGACAAAGTACTCGGTAGCCGAGAGAAGGAGGTTCGTCCAAACTTTAGGTGTGCGTTTTTGAGGTCCGTATAGTGAGCAGCAAGTGAGGTATGATTGGGCATACGCGGTCAAAAATCCGCTTGTTTCAGATAAACTTTTCCTATGGCTCTATTTTGCGAAAATAGGTAACTTAGGTAAAAGAATGGACGTTTCTTGAGATTCCTTAGTATGGATAAAGAGGTGACTAATTGCATGATTGAATCTAAAGAGGACCTACTGGGGCTCGAGAAGTGCACGATAATTACTCCTAAATGGATTCCAGTAAGAGACACCGACCCCGGTGGAAGACGTGAAGCGCAGACTAAGCAATTAAAACTTATTAAGTGTTAGTCACATTGTCCATCGTCTACCCTAGGGGCTTGAATCAAAGTCCGTTTTTCGAGGTTGTATTACCGGCACTACTAGATGACTGAAGTAGGTTTGCCCTCATGCTGTAAATCGAAGTAGACTTGAACAGCATCGGTGGGCCCTTCACTGACCTGGCTACAGCAAGTAGTATGCTCCCCCCGCTGGAACTCAATATTACGTAGTTGCAGGTAGCTGTGCAGTTATCAGTAATAATGCAAAATGCCGACGAGGGTAAGGGAGGTTTAGACAACCATTTATGAGCTATTGGTGACATTTAGAGTCATGTTCCAATCCCAGGTTCAGATAACTGATGTGAACTCCAGATTGGACCCCAAAGTCCAACGGGGAGAGGATTTTCCATAATGCAACCAGATCAGAGAGTGAACTCAAACTATTTAACCATTCCCGTCACAACTTAGAGTATGAGCAGTTCCTGGCTTGCTAATATAACTTAACTTAATAGAACGTAATGTTCGACAGACTAATGGTATGGATTCGAATCCCTTGTAATAAAAAGATTGAATCGAGGTACAACCGGCTAACTATCGACAAAAATGATCATCGCGGTCCCTTTTAGTTGCCAGTGTTTATGCTTCACAGACACGAACAGTGTCTGTATTACATGTGGCCCCATTCTAAGACGGCGAATGTGCACTGTTGCAGCGTTTGAAGCAAATAATATCGCGGCAGCAACAAACTTTTCAGTACCCTCAACTCACCAATAATTAAATATAGAGCTCAAAACACTGGAAACAGGCATACGGACAATAGACCGATCTCTAAAACACCTCAATTTTTTTACGAAGATGGCCCGGTGGATACTGACAGACGCTGGAAGCAGCATTGAGGAACAGACTAATTTTGCTCGGACCTTAGAACATGAATTAATTTATTTCCTTTGCTAAACCCTCTAATGTGCTACGGGCATATACACCGACGTTTTCTGTCGCTGTGGTACGTTCCCTGTCCATTTGCTCCTCTATTCACCTGCCCGCAACAGATATCTGCAGTAGTCTTGAAGGTGTATAAGAGCTGAAGAGCTGTACAAAATGGTCGCCAGTGGTTGGAAAACTTGTTTTCCCCAACTGAAATCGGGACAACTTTGCGCGTTTGTAACAGGCAGAAGTTAGGCCTGATTAGTGCTGACTGCATAAGGAAAAATAGACATATTCAATTACTTCGGTGGCATTCTCCCGCCATTATTTAGAGGAAAAATTGGAAAATCGAAGTACGTGCAGATCGCCGGATCGTACTGTAAGTGATGCCAGCGTTACGACCAAGGGCAAATTACAAAATTCCTTCGGTGAATCAAATTCGTCACCAGGATTGGAGAGTGAACCACGAGATCAGTTTAGACCTCCCAAGTATCAAGAATACTGTGATCTTTGAGTACAGACGAAAAGTGGGACAAGCGTTCAGAAAGTCATTAGTAGTCTGCGTGTTCCAGTGATTAATGGATGCGTTTGGCATGACGAACAGGCGTGAACAGTGTTAATCCTTGTGTTTTTCAAACCACTTTTGGGTTGGAAGAAAACCAAGGTATCCAGACTCTGGTGTACTAAAAGCATTAAAACGCCCTATATCCCTGCTTACGAACTCAACTGCCTTGTGCGCAAGTATATAATATAGCAGCATTAGTTACAGGTGAAAGCAACAACAATCAGATGAACGATAGGGATTAAGTGTTTCGGATTGTCAGTTTGACAGTTCTACTGAATATCTTCAACTAGGGATGGAAACACGCTCAAGCAGCCAATGAAGTGAATGACAAAATCTACAATCAATCAATCTTCTGAAGGCAATTAGTGGTGTATGTAACTTCAGAAATAAGTAAAACGAAACAGCATTAACCCACTGAAAGTTATTGGGAACGTATTGGACATAAAAACATACTATGAAAAATTATTAGTTCAATCATACAAAAAGGCATGCAAATGCTGAACTGCACGCGAGACGGGGGTCAATAAAGGCGCCTAAAGTCGACCAAAATACAAGAGAAGGACTTACGTGTGCCATTTCTCCTCAGATGGATAAAGTAAGTAATCAAAAAGCAGGGCATCAAAGAGAATGCGCACACTGGAACAAAATTCTCCACACAGACGACGACTTTTGTCGGTCTTTTGATACGCTGAAGCTGCCATTTTCGAGAATCGTTCTCTCTGAGTAGCTTTAAATCGTGCTCAAAAAAATCGAAAATCTTACCCGATGAAATCAATCCGTTACTGTTCTTAGAAACCGTTGGTGAGCCGTTAATAGAAAAGTTGTAAGGGAAGTCGTTCAGGTAAGCTTGTAGCAAATCAAGCACAGAGCACCAAGACTGAACAGGTAAATGCTTTCTGGGGTGAGTATGCGCAGCCGCTTCAAAAGGACGGCAATGACCTTCCAGTATTGATTTTAGAGACTGGGTGAGCTTCGGAGCTGGGGCGAAGCTTGCATGAACCTGCAGATTTATGCTATTATATTCAAGTCTTACATCGACTGATTCAAAATTGAGTTGTGCCAGATCGTCAGAGTCAGGTTCACCTGACTCGTAAACACGCTCGGCATCTGTATCAGACTCCGAAATGCTCTTCATGTTCAAATTGGATGAAGTTGCCTAGGGGAATCAAACGAATAGGTTGATTTACATTCTGAACTGCTGAAGAATTTTTTGAGTCCCTCCAAACACCCGGCACAGTGTCCCAATCAATATCTTCGCGAGCTTCAGCCGCGGTGGAAAGAACAAGATCAATCCTTTGTTTTCGCTTTTCTTTGTCTTTAACCTATAAAAATGAAACATGCATGCAAAAAGCAAACGTTTGTCGCCAGCTCGTCAATCTTCCGTTTAAGCGTTCGGTTAAAATCTGAATTCTCCAACAACAAATCTTCTGGAACTTCCCTGTCCCACTTTCTCTTCCAGCCTAGGAAATGCACGAAGTACTGCGGGATGTAGGTCCTGCCTCTTAAAGTATGACCGCAAAGTTGGGTCACCTGCAGTGTTTAGCACAGGATATTTCGTCTAACCTCTGCAAAATAAATGAGTTTTGCCTTCAATGGATCCGGCTCAAAGCAAAGCAAACGGCCACCCACTTCGAACCTGTGGGTGGGTTTAGGCATCGGGAAGAACAAAATCGGACACCACTTGTAAAGATGGAGCCAAAGTTTACTTACAACCTCGAGGGACAACGCAGTGGACGCAAACAGCCTAAACACCAA